TCAGAGAGACATAGAGAGAGAGAGAGAGAGAGACAAAGAGAGAGAGAGAAGAGAGAGATGAAAGAAAAAAGAAGAAAATATGATAGAGAGAGAGAGTGGAAAGGAAATGGTTTTAGAATTTATCTAACAGTTGCAGTATTGCTTAATAAATCTATTTTGACAAACATGATGGATGAAAAACACGTCTTCATTGCGTTAAAAAGCATTTTATGAAAAATATTTCATAACTATCATGTATGTATGTGTGTGTTTGTTAATATGTGTGTGTTTGTGTGCCTGTAGGTAGGTGTATGTTTTTGTGTTGTGTGTGTGTGTGTGTGTGAGAATGTGTGTGTGTGTGATAGTCATCTGTACAATAAATAATACATTTTTACAATATTAATAATATAAATACTTCCATTAATAATAATATATAATAATTTTCTTATAATTATTACATCTTCTAATATTATTATTACTTTTTGCCCATGCCTAGCACGGGTGAGTTGTTGAAGAAAAGAAAAATGAGAGAAAGAAAGAGAGAGAGAGAGAGAGAGAGAGAGAGAGAGAGAGAGAAAGGGAGAGATGAGTATGTCAATAAATATAATTACAATCAATGATTCAACGACTATACAGTAATGTACCATAGCATTGACCGCTGTGTATTTGGACAATTGGAGACGTTTTTGTATGTTCATGTCTGTGATTGTTTCAATGTTGATGTTTGTGTTTGCATGTTTTGTTGTGTGTGTTTGCATGTTTAGTTGTGGGTGTTTGTGTGTTTAGTTGTCTGTGTTCGTATGTTTAAGCTTTTTTGGTATGTCAGTTTAGGAGTGTTTGCGTGCGTTTAGTGTTAAATGCTTTGCGTCTGCCTTAGGTTTAGAAACAAGTAAGCGATATTAACTAATGTCCATTGATGTAAGAAAATAATTAAAAAATTTATAAAGAAATGGATGAATGGATGGATGGATGGATGGATGGATGGATGGATGGATGGATGGATGGATGGATGGATGGATGGATGGATGGATGGATAGATGGATGGATGGATGGATGGATGGATGGATGTACAAATCAGCGAATGATTATACGAGTACGCGAGTAAACGAATAGACAAAAAATGAAAGAAGAATAAACGAATGAACGAATGAAGAAATCTTTTTGAAAATTAAAAGAATGAACAAATAAGAAAAAAAAAGATATTAATATAACGGATATATTCACATCCGACGAAAAATTCAAAGGATAATTTAAAAAAGTTTGATGTACGTAACATTACATTTAGAGTCATTTCATTAGTCAATTCATTCAATCTCTCATTCAATCAATTATTTTACTGACTCCTTTAGTAATTCACATTCAATCTATTAATTTAATAATTCATTCATCCAATCCATCCAGTCATTTATTCAATCATTCACTCTTTCATACATTCATTCACACGTACACTCCTCAAGCATTTTATTAATTTTTTCAGTTATTCATTTAATCAATCAATCATTCATTCATTCATTCATTTATTTATTCATTCATTCATTTATTCATTCATTCATTTATTCATTCCTTCATCTAAAATAAATTGTGAAGGGTAGCCCAAAGAGAAAGAAAAATCGCCTAAAAACACATCAGCCTCATATATATTTATCTATAATTAATAATAATAATAATAACATTCATAATAATAAATTATAATAATATTAACATTCGTAATAATAAATAATAACAATAAAATTTATTTATTCAAGTATCTTAGTCAAATTTTTCACAATGCAACAAAAATATTTTTCATTTGACTGGTATATAAAAAAATAAAGTGACCGGATTGAGTAATGCACAAAGGAGTTTGACCTTACTTGACCTTTCAAAATGGTGACAATAAGAAGAATAACAATAATCTATATTGAGTCTAATAAGAATAATAAGAATAAGGATAACAACAACAACAACAATAATGATATTAATAATAATATAATATAATAATATCAATAATAATAATAATAATAATTATGATTATGACCCACAATCAAAGTAGAGGAACGCGATTCACCGTTTGCTTTTATTACTTCTTCACAATGACATCAACATTAAAAAAACAGCAATGATAATAATAATCATAATAACAATAATAATAATCATAATAACAACAATAATAATAGTAACAATAACAATGACGTCACAAAAAAACAAAAAAAAACGTCAATTGGAACTAAAAGTGAATTCATCAAAATAACAAGTTTTGAAATGGAAAAATTTGAAGAATAACAAGAATAACAAAAGAAGGAAGAATAACAAAAAAAATGAAGAAAAACATAAAGGGGAAGCTGAACAACCATGAAAAACACTGAAAATTAAGAGTTGG